CAGCATGAGTCTCTGAATCCCCATGTGGAGGAAAGTGTTAAACTATTACATGAATGGAAAATAAAACTTAATTGTATTAGAGTCTTTGTAAGTTTTGGGTCTATTTTTGGGTTATAGCAGATAGCGTTACTCTAACTAATATAGTTACTGTCCAAATATATCTTTATAAATTGTAAAGCAGCCAGAAATTCATTCACAATAGTAAGAATAGTAGGTGAATAACAAAACCACTTTATTTCTGGGGCAAGGATTTATTTATTTTACCTTACTTATGATTAGAATAAAAATCTTACTAGTTTTGAATGACCCGAAATGTTTCTGAACAAATGCGCAGATAAACAAACGTATGTGCAAAATAACTGGGTTCTAAATGTGACAGACACATATATGATACGGTGATCTCCAAAGTGGGGTGTGTCTACTTTGCAGAATGCCAATTTAAACATCTAAGGATACAGGAGATGATCTATTGGAGTAAGGTAAGAAAGGATGCAAATTTTCCCATATATTTTGTATCTTATCTTTTACAGGCATACCTTGTTTTAGTGCACTTTGTTTTATTATGGTCACAGACATCGCTTTTTTTTTTTTTTTTTTTAACAAATTGAAGGTTTGTGGCAACCTCTGTGCTGGGCAAGTCCATTGGTGCCATTTTTCCGACATCATTTGCTCACTTCATGTCTCTGTGTCACATTTTGGTACCTCTCACAATATTTCAAATTTTTTTCATCATTATTTTATTTGTTATGGTGATCTGTGATCAGTGACCTTTGACGTTACCACACAGACCATACCCACAGAGATATTGAACTTAATTGATAAATGTTGTGTCTGCTCTGATTGCTCCACTGACCAGCTGTTCCTTCATTTCTCTCCCCCTACTAGGTGCCTCCCTAGTCTTTGAGACACAACAATAGTGAAAGTGGACCAATTAATAACCCTACAGTGACCTCGAAGTGTTCAAGTGAAAGGAAAAGTCACACATCTCTCACTTTAAATCAAAAGCTAGAAATGATTCACCTTAGTGAGGAAGGCATGTTGAAAGCTGAGACAGGTTGAGAGCTAGGCTTTTTTCACTAGTTAGCCAAGTTGTGAATGCAAAGGAAAAGTTTATGAAGGAAATTAAATGTGCTCAATCAGTGAACACACAAATGATAAAAAAATGAAACAGCTTTATTGCTGATATGGAGAAAGTTTGAATGGTCTGGATAGAAGATCAAACCAGCCACAACATTCCCTTAAGCCGAAGCCTAATCCTGAACAAAGTCTTGACTCTTCAATTCTGGGAAGGCTGAGAGAGGTGAGGAAGCTGCAGGAGAAAAGTCTGAAGCTAGCAGAGGGTGGTTCATGAGGTTTAAGGAAAGAAGCCATCTGCATGCCATCAAAATGCAAGGTAAAGCAGCAAGTACAGTTGTAGAAGCTGCAGCAAGTGATCCAGAAGATCTTGGTAAGATCATTACTGAAGGTGGCTACACTAAACAACAGTGTTTCAATATAGACAAACGGCCTTCTATTGGAAGAAGACGCTATCCAGACTTTTCACAGCTAGAGGAGCAGTCAATGCCCAGCTTCAAAGCTTTTAAGGACAGGCTGAGTGTCTTGTTAGGGGCTACTGCAGCTGGTGACTTTAAGTTGAAGCCAAAGTCGTTGACCATTCTGAAAATCCTAGGGCTCTGAAGAATTATGCTAAATCTATTCTGCTATGCTCTATAAAAGGAACAACAAAGCCTGGATGACAGCACATCTGTTTACAATATGGTTTACTGAATATGAAGGTACTGTTGAGATCTGCTCAGGAAAAAAAAAAATTCCTTTCAAAATATTACTGCTTATTGAGAGGAATGACTCTAATTTTGAAATAACTTCCCCTGTGGGTAAAATGCTATCAAACAGCATTGCATGCTACAGAGCCATTGTTTGTGAAATGGAAGAGTCAACAGATGCAGAAAACTTCATTGTTGTCTTAAGAAATTGCCACAGCCATCTGAACCTTCTGCAACCACTACGCTGATCAATCAGCAGCTATCAATGTAGAGGCAAGACCTTCCACCAGCAAGATTACAACTCCCTGAAAGTTCAGATGATGGTTAGCATTTTTTTTTTTTTTAGCAATAAAGTACTTTTTAAATTAGGGTATGTACATTTTTTAAGACAATGCTATCGCACACTTAATAGCCTACAGTGTAGTGTAAACATAATTTTTATATATATGAGGAAACCAAAAAATTCATTGACTCACTTTATTGCAATACTTGCTTAATTTGGTAGTCTGGAACTAAACTTACAATATCCCTGAGGTATGCCTATAATTTTGATTTTTTTTTTTTTAAGATTTTATTTATTTATTTGAGAGAGAAAGAATGAGAGACAGAGAGTGTGAGAGGGAAGAGGATCATAGGGAGAAGAGGACTCCCTGCGCTGAGCAGGGAGCCTGATGTGGGACTTGATCCTGGGACTCCAGGATCATGACCTGAGCTGAAGGCAGTCGCTTAACCAACTGAGCTACCCAGGCGTCCCTATAATTTTGATTTTTGAGTATATTTTATTACATCTATAACATGGTAGTACACATAATTTGTGCACAAATAACTACATACATTGAAAGTACATGTTTAAAAATATTGGACATGTTCAATGAAAGTACATGCTCAAAAATATATTGGAAGTACATGTTCAAAAATTTTGTACTGAAAGGATGTATAATCGAAATCACTTAAGAGACCACTGGCAAACTGTATTTAGTAGTCTTGAAATAGTGTTAGCAACATGGTTATAAAGTCACAATATATTTAATAAAGGGATGATGGATAGGAGAGTGTTTAATATAAAGAAATACATACAGTATTAGATTGATTATAGTCTAAGCCGTATGTCTTAACTTCCTCTGTAACCCTGGACAAGTTGCTACTTAATTAGTCCTGACCTCATTTTCTTTTTATCAAATATGGGGATTGGGCTAATTTGAGGTTTCATACTTATGCTCACTTATACTCCAGAGGTTTTGAATAGTTCTTGTAGAGCCCCTGCAAAGATAGGAGGAAGGAAAGACTACAGGCAGGCTATAGTCTTGCTATATTGCTTCACTATCTAGCTCCCTTTATTGATCAAATGTACAGGATAAGAACAGAGGGTCTGTGGGGTGGCTAGGGAGAAAAGAAAAGAAAACCACTGGGCTAGATAATTTCTTCGGATCCCTTTTCATTTTAAGGGCAAATAAAATTCAAAGTTATTTTAACTCATCTTTGGTATCAAAAACAAAAGCCTTTCTAAATATTAGATTATGTCTTAGTATAAAACTCCTGGGTGAGCTAAATTCAATTAAATATGTGGAAAGTCATTATTAGTATGCTGTGCTTGATGTAAAATGTAAGGTTGCACTATGATGAATTGGCCTTTACTTGAATCAACTTACTTTACAAAGTCAATCATAAGTATAACTTGTGTAGTAGCTATATATTTTTTTCCAAAATCTTTTTTTTTTTTGAAGTAGGTTCCACACCCAATGTGGAGCCCAATGCGCGGCTTTAACTCATGACCCCCCAGATCAAGACCTGAGCTGAGATCAAGAGTTGGGCACTTAACCAAATGAGTCACTCAAGTGCCCCTCCAAAATCTTTTTATCAACTTTATCAACTTATTAATTCTTTTTATCAACTTATTAATTCAATTGATTGGTTATCATGAAAGGAAGGAAACCAGAAAAGATCCCAGAGAGAGGAGGAAGAGTTGGCAGAGCAGGAATACTAATAGTGCCCTTAATTGAATAGCTGCAATTGAGTTGCTCTGGCAATAGCACTTTTAAAATTTCTGGGGTGAAAATATTTTGAAACAGACTAGAAAGTTGGCTGGCCTATTCTGAACAAATATTTTAAATCTTGTTTAGTCTCTCAAATTAGCTCTATTTGGTCTTTGGGATTCCATATTGGTATTTTCCTCAGTTTTATTTACATGAAAAGAATATTTTAATTATTTTACTACATAATAATTAATTGGTCACATTTTACACCTCCTTTCTTTCCACTTGATTATTGTCTTTCCACTGGGTTATTTGATTCTGTGGGAGTATTCTGCTCCTGTGAGTCTCAGGAAAAGTAACAGTTCATGTTTAACAATGCCTCCACGCTGGGCTGAAAAACAATGGTTTTAAATCCTACACACCATAATGTCATGTAAGTAACGGCAGCCAGAAACCACTCTTACAGTCCTCTTATTTTCCTTTCAAGGTTGTCTTTTGCATTTAAGGGCTGAATCACGTCTAGGGTGGAGGGGGTTATCAATGGGCAAGGTACATGTAAACTCTCTCAGGAGCTTGTACTGTTTGGTCTACTTAGCACCCTGACTCCGCAGGAAGGCAAGGCACACCTTTCAAAGGACTTTGCACGTAGCTCACACTCAACGCCATTCCACTCAGCTAAAAAATACATCCCTAATCACCCACTCCCGTTTGACATGTTTGCAATTTACACATACAAAAATACACGTCGCCCTTAATCTGTGCTATAATTTGTCCTACTTCCGATCCCGTTAAAAAAGGAGACTAAAACAACACGGAATCCCAAATTCACACTGTACACCTAGGTACACTAGAACTTAAAGAAAGACTGACCTCATCGTAACTACCTGGTTTCAGTGCCCGCGGCGTCGTCCCCATCCTCCTCTAGATTTCCTCCAGCCCCACCTCCGGGCCAGTGGGACTGATTTCTTGCCCCGCCCCTTTTCTCACAGCCAATGGGGCGCGCCGCACCACCCGAAGGCCACAACCCCATTGAGCCGCCCCTCTAGCGTCTCAGGCTCGGGCTGGCCGTCACCCCCCTCCTCCTCCGTGGTTTCCGGGCCGGGCGCATGCGCACTCTTCTCGGGCCCTGGAGAGACGCTTAGGGATCGATTTTCTTCTCCTTTCTTTCTCCAGTCGCGCGACTCTCCAAAACCCTTTCCGCCCTACTGTTGCTGGGGCCCCCCCCCCCCCCCCGCCCGCTAGTCAGAGAAGGTGCTGCTCCAACCTTGAGAGCGTCAGTATCCGGATGTGGAGCCGCTCTCGCCCGGCGGGCACTCTGTGGCGGGGCGGAGCGCGGCGGCGTGCGCGGGGGCAGAGAGAAGGGGGCCCGTGGGCCCGGGCGCTTGCCGGACGCCGGGAGGTACCACCGCTGCCCACGGGGGAGGAGACGGCGCCGGCAGTCGGGCGCCCACCCCGGAGCGAGGGGCTAGGGGAGAAAAAAGGCCGGCAGTTAAGCTTGCTCCCCGTCGCCCTCGCCGTCTCCCCCGGGCCAGCCTCCCCCGGCCCCCTGCGCTCCCCGCGCTCCCGGCCGGGGGAGAGCGTGGTTTCCTGGCGGCCGTCGCTGTAGCCCGGCCGGGGAGCCCGGAGGAAGCGGGGGAGTCCCCGCCCACGGCCCCCTCCCCTCTGCCCGCCCGCCGCCGCCGCCTCTGAGCCGCTGCGGTCCGGCCTCCAGTCCGAGCCGGGGGCGCGGCGGCGGCGGCGACGGCTGGAGAGTGGTTGTGGGCTTAGCGGGGACCGCGCCGCCGCCCCCGTGAGTTATTCCCACGTCCCCCGGGGCTCGCTGCCGCTCCCGCCGGCGCCGAGAGTCCGGCCCGGGCCCAACTCCCTCACGGGCCCCCCGGCGGCGGCAGCGGCGGAGCCCACCGCCCGGGCCCCGATGAGTAACTCCCGGAATAACCGGGTGATGGTGGAAGGGGTCGGGGCCCGGGTAGTGCGCGGCCCGGACTGGAAGTGGGGGAAGCAGGACGGCGGCGAGGGCCATGTGGGCACGGTCCGGAGCTTCGAGAGCCCCGAAGAGGTGGTGGTGGTGTGGGACAACGGCACTGCTGCCAACTACCGCTGCTCTGGGGCCTACGACCTGCGCATCCTAGACAGCGCGCCGACGGGTAAGTCTTGGCCCCCCTGGCCTGGGCCTGCGCGCGTGCGGGAAAGGGGCGAGGCCGGGTGGGCGTCTGACTGTCTGGGAGAAGCCCGCGGTGGGAAGGGAGAGAGCCAAAGAGATTTTAGGTTCAGTACATGGTAAACAAAAACTTGCAGAAAAGACCCCGCTACCCCACGGGAAATGATGGCAGCACCGTCACCGGGATGCTTTCAAGCCTGGGAGGCACAAAGCACCGGGAACACAACAGACTGTTCCCCTCCTCCTCCTCTAGGGAAAGGGTCTGGAGAGGCCTGTCTAATAAGCCATTGAAATTAATCAGCCACCGAGTGATAACTGTCTGAAGAGAGGCTTGCCTAGCCATATGGTGTTTAGCTGTCGGGTTACAATTGCCGAGGGGCCTCTGGTAGCTCGGATTTGTTGAGATACCATGTATGTATGTATGTATGTATTGCCTCCTGTAACACATAAAAAGACTTGGGAGTTCAGTAGCTGAATGTTAATTGAGACCTTGTAGAATGATTTTTCATCTAAATTGTTTCATTACCAATAGAGGGAAAAAGAGTCTAAGCTGTTGAACCATTTCCTTGTGTTAAATACTTTTTCCAAGTGGATTAGACACTGATTTTTTTGTCGGTAATATCCCATCTCGTATGTAAGGTTATATCAGAGACTTATCCATTCATGCACAATGAGTCAAAGTCCTTGATTCACAAATTTCAGGGATCTGTTTGTTATTGACTCTAGAATTTTTATGTAATGTGTTAAACTGAAGGCTTGTGCTCATAAAATAAAGATCTAACACTATTTTGTTGATTATTTTAATCAAAAACATTTTTACAGATTTGTCTATGATACTCTAGTAGAAAGTAGTTCAAATTTAAAATTTGTTACTTTTCAGGATGCATAAATAAGCTACTTTTAAAAAATTGAGGTATCATTGACATATACTAGTTTTCTGTGTACAAGATGGTTTGATATATATATTGCAAAACGATCATCACAATAAGTCTAGTTAGTATCCATCATCATACATAGTGAATAAAATTTTTTTAAGATTTACTGTCTTAGCAACTTTCAAATATGCAACACAGTGTTATTAATTGTAGTCACCATGCTGTACATTACATTCCATGACATTTATTTTATAACTGGAAGTTTGTGCCTTTTGACACCCTTCACCTGTTTTGCTTACTCCCTCCTCTGGCAACCACCAATCTGTTCTTTGTATCCATGACCTTTTTTTTAAGATTCCATGTATAAATGAGATCGTATGGTATATGTCTTTCTCTGTTTTATTACACTTGGCACAGTGTTCTCGAGATCCATCCATGTTGTTGCAAATGGCAGGATTTAATTCTTTTTTTTATGGTTGAGTCATATTCCATTGTGTGTATATATATAGCACATTTTCTTTATCCATTCATCCATCAGTGGACTTTTAGGTCGTTTCCTTGTCTTGGCTATTGTAAATAATGCTGCAGTGAACATGAGGATGCATATATGTTTTTGAATTAGTGTTTTCATTTCTTTGGGTAGATACCCAGAAGTATTTCTGGATCCTATGGTAGTTCTGTTTTTAATCTTTTGAGGCACCTCCATACTGTTTCCCTATTGGCTATACCAATTTACGTTCCCACCAACAGTAAACATCCTTGGTTTTGTCTACATACTTGCCAATCTTTGCTATTTCTTGTCTTTTGATAGTAGCTGTTCTAGCAAGTGTGAGGTGATATCTCATTGTGGCTTTGATTTGCATTTTTATGATGATTAGTGATGTTGAACATTTTTTCATGTGTCTGTTGACCATCGGTATATCTTCGTTGAAAAAATATTCAAATTCTCAGTCCATTTTTTAATCAGATTGGTGTTTCTGCTGTTGAATTGTATGAGTTCTTTATGTGTTTTAGATTATTAATCCCTTATATGTATTATTTGCAAGTATTTTCTCCCATTCAGTAAGTTGCGCTTTGATTTTGTTGATGGTTTCCTTTGCTGTGCAGTGACTTTTTAGTTTGATGTAGTCCCACTTGTTTATTTTTGCTTTTGTTGCTTTTGCTTTTGGTGTCAAGTCCAAAAAAATCATTGCCAAAATCATTGTTAAAGAGCTTACTGCCAATGTTTTCTTCTAGGAGTTTTATGGTTTCAGATCTTAATTTTAAAGTCTTTAATACATTTTGAGTTAATTCATAAATAAGCTATTTCTTTTTTTTTTTTAATTTTTTTTTTTTTAAGATTTTATTTACTTGTGAGAGAGAGAATGAGAGACAAAGAGCATGAGAGGGAGGAGGGTCAGAGGGAGAAGCAGACTCCCTGCAGAGCAGGGAGCCCGATGCGGGACTCGATCCTGGGACTCCAGAATCATGACCTGAGCCGAAGGCAGTCGCTTAACCAACTGAGCCACCCAGGCGCCCCATAAATAAGCTATTTCTAAGGCTTGATGATTGAGTTTGACAAAGCTTACCAAATCTGAAATGGGTTCCTATTTGTTACTGGCAGCAACAAAAAGGAAACTAACACAAGTCGACTCAGTTTTCTTTTGAACCGATAATTCATAAAATTGTGTTTCTTAGCTGGTTATTTAGACATTGAGAAAGATGTATATGCATGCCCAAAAGAAAAGATTCAACAGTACAAAAAGGGACAGCTATTGTTATCAGTTTCTTGGGTATTCTTACATACTCTATTTATTGCAAGCATATTTGTTAATATACTGTAAATCCACTACCTTTTTAAAGCACAAATGGTAATAAACTATACTCTCTTCTGCACTTTTGTTTCTTTCACTTAATAGTACATATCGGGAATTGTTCCAGGTTAGCACATTAGGTCTACTTTTTTCTTTCATAACTGCATAATATTCCAGTGACTGGATGTCATAATATATTTAACCAGTGCTTTCTTTCTTTTTTTTTTTTTTTGAAGATTTTATTTATTTATTTGACAGAGAGAGAGAGACAGCGAGAGAGGGAACACAAGCAGGGGGAGCGGGAGAGGGAGAAGCAGACTCCCCGCTGAGCAGGGAGCCCGATGCGGGGCTCGATCCCAGGACCCCGGGATCATGACCTGAACTGAAGGCAGACGCTTAATGACTGAGCCACCCAGGCGCCCCCAACCAGTGCTTTCTTGATGAGCATTATATTGTTTCAGGTCTTCTTCTTTTTTTTTTTTTAAATTTTATTTATTTATTTGAGAGAGAGAGTGAAAGAGAGCATGGGCAGGGTGAAGGGCAGAGGGAGAAGCAGACTCCCTTTTGAGCAGGGAGCCCGATGTGGGACACGATCCCAAGACTCCGAGATCATGACCTGAGCGGAAGGCAGACACTTAACTGACTGAGCCACCCAGGTGCCCCGGTGCTTCAGGTCTTCTTATTTACAATGATGTAGTGAATAAATCCTATGCATATGTGCTGAGTACTTATGTTGTGGAATTGCTGCATCAAGGGGTACACATATTTAACATTTTGATAGATACTGACTAATTGCTGTCCAAAGACATTTTACGACGCTACACTCTGACATTTTACACGGAATGAGGCACATACCTGTTTCTGCAGACTCTTTAAATTTTATCTTGCTAGCTCAAGCTAAAGTTTGACCATAACTCAATAATTTGAAGTCATCTTGGTACCAGTAATTGCAGGTTTATGAGGAAATTTAAATATCTTTCTGGGTAAAGTGTAACAAATCCTATACTACAGCAATTTTTGAAGGGATATTAATGTTGTCTGTGTGCTTTATGGTGTGAAGTATATCTATCATAAATAGTTTCATTATCTTATATAAAAGCACATGTTTTTAGAGGTAATTGTTTTAAAATCTCAGTTTAATTTACAAGATGATTTTACACATTTAATTTGTTGTGTGTAATAATTCATCTTGTTCATCTGAATCTTTTAGCAGACATTTTAAAAGCATTTCTAGATGCAGGGTAGCTAGTCTTCTTATGCAGTGCTGTTGAAATGTATTTTAATTTCTATGATTTACTATCTTCAGTATTTTTTTTTTCCTTAAAGGATTGAACAAATCACAAGCTCTTAGATATGGTTTTACCCCAGGAGTATACTACTACTTTCAGTTTTCTCTTTTTTCTTTAAAATATTTGATAATTGATGTCTATTGGTACTTTATTATATTCTCAAGATTTATTAAATATTATATTTATTATATATAGTACTTGATATTTGTTTACATAATAGTTAAAATAAAAATAAATTTAACCTTTTTGAAATAATTTCAGGTTTACAAAAATTACAAAACTAGTAAAAAGAGTTTCCTTTTGCCCCTTGCTCATCTTCAAGTATTAATATCTTACAAAGTATAATTATTGAAACCAGAAAAATAACATTAGTACAATACTATTAACTAATCTACAGACCTTATTCAAATTTCGCCAGTTGGCCCACTTATGTCCTTTTTTGGGTCCAGGATCCAATCTAGGTTCTCCATTACTATTGCATATAGTAATTGAGCTGCATGTGAGGCTGTCAAATTCTCCAGCTCCAGATTGTCTGTCTTTACTCTTTACTGGTATTATTTTTTTTACTTTATCAGGGTTCTTAATCTTTTACATTTTCTTTGTTGTAAAGAGCAGCTCAAAGTTCCAGTCATCCTACACTGTTGAAGCCAAGCTCTGACCTTGGGAGAAGATATGACATTGTCATATCTACTTATTGGTATTATTTTTTTTACTTTATCAGGGTTCTTAATCTTTTACATTTCCTTTGTTCTAAAGAGCAGCTCAAAGTTCCAGTCATCCTACAGTGTTGAAGCCAAGCTCTGACCTTGGGAGAAGATATGACATTGTCATATCTACTTAACTATCAGATCTTACCCAATATTCAAATTACTGAAATCTTACCTCATCTGTAAAGCTTCTTTTGTTTAATGAGAAAACTCGATCTATTAATATTTGCTTGTAAGTGTATGGTTAGGAGCAACATAGGTAATTACATTACCAGTTGTGGGAGAAAATTTTCATTTAGAAGTTAGAAGCCAGCTAGCTGGC